GATAGTTTCTTCTTATAGGTGTATATTTTTAATTATATTAATATCTGTCAGTAATGAATGCCTAAAAAGTTCATGAGTCTCATCTGTTTTGCTTATATCCTTATATTTTAATCAAGAATTCTAGGCAGGTAGGGTTACTTAATAAATAGTTATTTATAAACACAATAGAAAATTTCAGAGTATACTTTAGTTTTTGATAGCTGTGCTAGATAGCTTTAGTTGTCAACTTGACAGACCTGTGTACTGGAAGCCTCAATTAGTGAATTCTCTCCATTGGACTGGCCTGTGTCTGTGTCTGTGAGGCATCTTCTTGATTATTGAGTGATGTGTGAGGGCCTAGTCCACTGTGGGTGATGCTGTTTTGGGGCAGGTAGGCCTATGTTGTATAAAGAAGCAGGTTAAGCAGGGGGCCATGGGAGCAAGCTAGTAAGCAGTATTCCTCCATGGCCTGTGCTCCAGCTCCAGCCTCCAGGTTCCAAAGTTCATCCACTGGTTATAGGTATGCTCTGGCTATTGAGACAAATGAATTAATTTTGCATGCTGATCATCTAGAGTGTAGGAAAATGATAATGTCATGAAGCACCAAAACACTTTATCTGATTGCTTAATGGAATCAAGTCAGTTTGGAACTAACAAAATGTATATTGAAAAAATTTTAAATCATCTTTAGTAAACAAATGTAGGCTTTTTTTTTATATCACGTGTATGGTTCAGATGTAAAATGTTCCTTATAGGTTTAAGTGTTGAAACACTTGGTTCCCAGCTGGTGGTGTGCTTTGTGAAACCTTTAAGATATGTGACCTAGTAAGAGAGGTTAGTAGGGGGGACATGGTGACCACAGTGTTTTGTATACAAGTTTGGCACCGTCAAATAAATTATAAAAAGAAGTGGATCACAGTACAGGCCTTGAAGGAGACAATATGAGGAGTGGGTCACTGGGTGTGAGACTTGAGGGTGACAATATGCTTCTGGTTCTGGCATTACCACTCTGACTTATGATCTGCTAAGATGGAAGCAGCAGCACCTCCAAGCTCCAGCGGCCGTGGACTGAGCAATGCCAGCTGCCATGCCCACCCCACCATGACGGACTGAACTCTAACGCATGAACCAAAATGAATATTCCCTCCCTTATGTTGCATTTGTTACTGCTTTATGAAAAGTAACTAACACTGCATGAAATTTAATGTTACAATTTTACTAGATGGTTATTGCTAAATGAATGTCTTGACTATTAATGTTCCAGAATGTTTAAAAATAACTTTACATTTTCTTTGTCACTGTAACTTTTGGTAAACGATTTATTAGCTTTTTGTCCAAATTTAATAATCACAATTTGCACTTGACTCACAATGTAACTAGTGGAATTTCATACATTCTGAAAATGGATCGCCTACCTAAACATGTGAATAGGTGACTGCATATCCACCAAGATTTCTCTCTCCTTTTGCTGCAGAGATATGCTAGTATATATTTTTCAGCACTGACGTATCCCCTTTCAGATTGCTGTACAGTCTTCCTTACTCAGGTCCACCCCTTCAACATTAGTGAATCATAAGCTTTCTTTATAGACTCTACTTTTATCATAGTCCTTAATCTCCTCTCTCGATCTAGACCAGGCCTGAGGATTCAGTGACCTATAGCTGACAACTTCTCAGATCTCATCCTTGAGCGCGACTATCTCTCTTGAGATTCAAACTTTGCTAACTCATCTGTCCCCATTCGCATGATCTTTCTGAGTGTCCTCTTCCCATTTCTCTTCCTCACTAGGTTTTTCCTTTGCATGGAACATGGTATATAGCAGACGTCCTCGGGATTTTCTGAGCACTGATTTTTCTGTAAGATAGGGCAGAAATGGTCTGTGCATCCCTTTTGGTTTCCATTTCTCTCCAAAATTTAGACACTGTGTCAATTAGGGGAGCACCCAAACTGAGTATGAAATGAACACAGTCAAATTTTTTACAGATTGTGTACTATAATCAGTTTTCCCTTTGCTGCATCAGTAATATTTTCTGGATGGCTAATCCAGGCTACATTACACATTTCAAATGTGTCAACTCAATGCCTGAGTGCCTTGTCATTATTCTCATTTTTGATGCCTTTTTCTTTCCAATTACATGCTTGAAGCACAAGACACTGAAATGCAATTCTTCTTCCTTAATAGCATAGTGACTTAAATTTAGATTCCTTAGAGTTTTAACTGAAATTCATATAGTAGCAAGTTGCAAAAGTTCTTAACACTGTGTTAGAAAATTCACCTCCATTAAGTACAGCTCTATAAGGAACAATGACTGAAATTTTTTAACAATGAATTTTATGTTAAAATTTGTTGCAGCTACTTTGTTTGTTTCTGCCCCCAAATCTCCAAGTATCCATGTGATTAGACCTCAGTACTGAACTATGAACAAGACATACAAATGATTAATTTTGCAAAAGTAAATCTAGGCTCTACAAGATCATGGGTAAGACAAGGGGATGTGCCATGATATGAATCGGAAAACTTTGTGGGAATAAGACAAATACTAAATAGTTTTCTGCCTGAATATACTCACTGCTGTAGAAGCTGAATATTCTACAGACCCATGTGGTAGATGTCCATGGGATGGGAACAGAGGAAACAGTAGTGCTATCTGAGTCCTCTAGACAACCTAGTCCCCAAGATTACAATGAGACAGTCTGCCTGCCACGAAGAGGCAGTCCAGAGTGGCTGGCTCAGAACAAGAAACATTCTAGCACTTTTCAAATTGAAACTGGCACTCATGCAAATGAAGTTATTAGTAGTGAGTGAAGTTAGATATAAATGAAGGATCTTATTAGTTTGTTGACATTTAATCAAATTTTTAAAAAGTCTTTTGGATCAGCTCATAGGCCTGTATTGTCAATTTTCAAAAATATACAACAATATGAAAATCAGTTCTAAAAACAGCTTTAATAGAATTCAATAAAGTGCACAAGAAAAATTGTAATTTGCATAGGCTAATTTACACATATGTGTAACTGAGAAATGAATTTGGAAGATGTTAGCCTTCCATCTGTATCACACAGAGAAAAATTGGGAAAATGATTTACCAACTGTTAATAAACAATTTTAAGCAGATTCTCATGTTCTCATCTCAAAACACATTGCCAAAGTCTCAAATATATTTTATGAACACTCTTGCTAGGAATGGTGTTTCATTTCCATGTGATTCTATAATTTCTGTGTATGTATAATAATATGTTGACTTTAGACCTTAAATTGTTTTTAAAGACTATGTAAACGAATTTAGTCAGTGCTATTTGTGGTCTAGGAACAAAGAACAGTGATTTGTATCGGGTCAAATGCTTGGGTTATTTCTTCTGAGCTCTTCAATGCACAGCTCTTTCCATTGAGCTCCTACTTTTCTGAGCTTTATTATGGAATTCCCTTAAGTGTTAGCCTGTGCTAGGCTATAAAGTTGTTTATTTTTCTAGGTTATAAAGGTGAACAGTCTCATTATTAATCTTCTTCAATGTGTTAAGATTCAATTTAAAAATATGCATGACCAATAATTTTCACCAGATGAGATTTACATATCTTAATTGGGTAATTTTTTTTCTTTAAGACTAACTAGATTGAAAAGGATATCAGTATAAATGTTTACGTGTAACTCCAAATTTATATAAAAGAATATGGTTTCAAAAAATATTAGTCAAATTCGTCACCTCTCTTCACTGGTGGAATTTATTGGTTAATTTTGTCATAGCTGCTTTCGCTGTCCTTCACTGGCAATTAGACAGAGGCAGACATTACTCATCACTGATCTAGTGTTTAGAGTAGGAGTATGAATGACGGTATCATTATAGAACCCAAAAGTTAAGTTAAACAAAACATAAACAGAAACCATTGGTTTGAGGAGAACAGAGAAAATCTAGATGCAGACTTTCAGAGAATTACCCCCTTTCTCATTTATTCCTGGGCTGGAAAAAGTGTGAGCCTCTAGGCTAGCCAAGATTCACAGGCTGGAATCTCAGTACTCAGCCTGACAATCAGCTCCGTAGCTGATAAACAGAGCAGAAGTAGGTAATAGCTATGTGGTTTGTTATATGTTCATTCAGTGAGGTTCAGAGTAGTTAGTACTATTATTGAATACATTCTAAGTCCCAAAGAGTCTGAGCAAAATGAGTGCTATTTCATCCTCAGAACAATCTTATGTCCCGTATAAGTATTTCCATTTCTATAGAAGGGGAAACAGAGGCACAGAAACTAAGAAGCCCAGGATCATGTCATAACTAGTAAGTGTTGAAGCCAGGATGTCACCCATCCAATCATGCTGAAATCAGAGGCAACACTTTAAACCACCACTTTGCTGCCGTGCAGAGAGGTCTGTTCAGAAGACAGGTTACATTACCAGTTTCTTGTTTAACAAGAGTAACACCAAGGACTTTGCTCAGCAATCCATCAAATCAATGGCCCAGGATAATCATAAGAACAAAGATTGAATGGTAAGACTTTGGACCATGAACTGAGAAAACAGTCTAGATAAAGCGTACCAGTGAACTCTTACAATGATAACGGCAGTGGTGGCATACACAGTGATTAGCTACTAAAGTAGTCTGAGATTTTAATTCTTGTGGCTCCAGGGAAAGTCAAGTGTTGACTCTTACCCTGAATGTACGCACTCCTCAGCAAATGGGGTCACCCATCCAGAGGATGAGCCTGCAACATCTCCTGTAAACACGGTAGAGAGAAGCAGCATGAGGTGGGGTGGTATGGGGTGTGAGCCTGTAGACTTCTAAATCCCCTTTGCTCTGCAGTAGTAATTCTGTGATCCAGGGAAACACTGTCATTCTTTCCACTTTCCTATCTTTCAACACTGACAGCTCAGATTCTGCAATACTTGGATAGAAGCTACTTATTAAAAAATAATTAACAGTAAGATCATCATGGGAAATGCTGTGTTTAAACATGAATTCACGGAATTTTCAGGGTTTTACAACTGTTGTCTGTGAGCCTAAAGCCTAAAATTAGCAACAGTCAACAGGAAATGAAGCGCTGTGGTTAAGGTCTACACTGACCACAACTGAATGACTGCCTGCTGCTTTGAAGCCTAACTTCTTCAGACCTTTTATATTAAATACTTTTCAGGTAATAATAGACAAATTACTACACAAAATCTTTATTTGAAGCACTGTGGAGGAGTCTTCTTCATATACTTGTAATAATTTAACACACAAATTATTTTGTGAAGTTCATTTGTATTTTGTGTGTATGAGTGCTTTGCCTGGATGTATGTAAGTGCACCCATGTATGCAATGCCCTTGGGGGCCAGAAGAAGGCAATGGATCACTGGAACTGCAGTTATTGTGAGTGCTGGGAACTGAAACCCCCGTTCTCTGCAAGAGCAGCGAGTGCTCTTAACAGCTGAGCCATCTCTCCAGCCCCAACCTAAATATTTTTAAAAGCCTCAGTTGTAGATATTCCTTTCTATGAACAGGACAGGTATCGTCTACAAATTTGGTGAGGTCTTTTCCTTCTTCTATAAGCACTATGCATGTGTATGTCTGTATGTATGCTTGCATACACACATGTGCATAATATAAACATCTTCATTTTATTGTATGAAATTTTAAAAGTAAAATATATTAAAAATGTGAATGAAGTAATTAAAGGCATGCAAAATATCAAATATTTATTAATATTTAAGTTTTGTGTCTACCATGTGTAAAGCTATGACAGTCACTGGGGAAAAAACAAATGAATGGGTCAGTCACTAAACAGAACCAAGAATGGAGGAATAAGAGGTTAACAGATACACATATAACTTAAATGTAAGAAAGGCATCCAAAGGTGTGCCTCTCTGAGACAGAAGGAAAGCATTTAAAATCTAGCTGCAAGGCAGTCATACCGATTTGACACTTGACATGGAATGGTGGAAGACAGAGACAGACTGGAACTTTAAGAACACTACCATTCCTTTGTGATGGCTGAACACCTCCTTCAGAATAAAAGCAACTTCTATTTATCTAATGCCTACTTTACATTCACTTCTCTTAGTCTCACATCTTGTAAACTTGGTGTGCAGGCAAAACATCTGAGCTTCTGAGTGGTTTAGTAAGCAACTCAATGTCCCAGCGGGATCATGGTAGACTTGGAATTCAGTTCCAGGTTGGCCCCAGTTCTGTGTTACAAGAACAGGCTCATCTGGCATGGGATCCACAGAGCCCTTTTCTCTAGTACCAGTCTTTTCCAGGCTATTTTGAGATTGGCTACTCCTAACTCTCCCCTAGCTGATGGCAGACTGTCACTCTTGCCTGTTGAGATTCTGCTGGGTTCAGCCTTTCTCGATAGTTTCAAGGCTTTGCTTTGCCCAATATGGTCGGCGAAATGCTGGCTTTCTGCCTTCCTTGTTAACCCCTGGTGTGGCTCTTGTTGGTTTGGTTGACCCTGCAGCCTTGTGTTGATAGTGAGCATTCAGCATTCTCTGCTGGATCAGCAGAGCAGGGTGTGCTGGGGCAGAGGGAACATTTATTCTACCCTCTTTGGCAGGAAGAATCGCGTCTTTGTCAGTGTTCAAGTTGCAAATACATGCTCTTTTGTACACTCCATGATACTTCCTGGGTATGCCATTAACTGTTTCCCAGGCAGCAGAAGTGCTGGGGTCACTGCTGAATTACCCTTTAACTTCTCCACTGTATGTGAACCTCCGACTGTTTTGTCCAGCTCTACTACTGAATTCCGGGTGTGACAAAAGGCTGATTCTCATTAACTAAGTCTGATAAAAAGAATCATGTGCCAAATCTTTGACAAAACAAATCTATTTTAATCACTATTGTGCATATAACTTAACATAATTCGCATATAGCATATAATAGGTGTTCAGTTAAAATTTACTGAATGAACTTGAGAAGCAAGTGAGCTCCGTGTGTGTGGGGGCAAATGTATGTGTGTGTGCACATTTGCATTTTAAAACTTATTTGCTTTCCTTTCTGAATGGAGAAGCTTAGCTTAATTATCACTGCTGACTATTGAGGGTAAAAGATAATTTAGTTGATTCTGAATTTAAGAAGTAGTGATGTTTAGGCAAAAAGCATGTTTGAAGTGTGAGTAATGTTTTCTGGGTAAGCTCTTTTTTCTGAGTGGCTAGTTATTGAAAAATGTTTACCGTGGCCCCCACTCGTCTGCTGTTTCAGGTCTAGTATGTATATAAAGCTGCTGCACAATTTTTAGCTGTGGGAAAAGAGAAAAGTGACTTGTATTATGCATTCTCTACCAAAGAGTTGTTTCATAGAAACATGCAAAAGGCATGTTTGAAGTGTGAGTAACGTTTTTTGGTTAAGCTCTTTTTTCTGAGTGGCTAATTATTGCAAAATGTTTATAGTGGCCCACTCGTCTGCTGTTTCAGGTCTGGATATGTGTATCAAGCTGCTGCACAATTTCTAGCTGTGGGAACATAATCAGAAAACGGACACGTGAATTGTATTATGAATTCTCTACCAAAGAGTTATTTCATAGATACCGAGGGCTCTTTTCAGCAAGAACCTAGGACAATCTATCTTTTAGAAGAAAACAAAAACAAAACAAAACATAAGTCTAGAAAAATCTTTGGGGGTAAAATCTCAGATCTATTTTCCTTAGGAATTTTGTTTCAAGGTATGGAAAATATATAATTAGGAACCATTTATTATACAAAAAATAGAGATACTTACCTGTCTCCTCTGATTTATTTTGGTGAGGAAACTGGCTTGGTTCTGTTAACACATTTCTACTTAGATTTACTTATAAGAGGATAACATCCTTATTCTGATCTCCAGCTTTATTTAACCTCTGATGATAGAAAGGAAATAAAATGTGATTTTAAAAGAGATCTTAGAAACACAGAAGCTGCCACATTTGCTTATGAAATAATAGAACATCTAACAGACATATTACAAGAAAAGAGATCAAGCTAGATGACCAAAGACCTTTCCAACAGCGAAGAGCCCAGGATCAATTATTTCACTGGTAAATTCTTCTGAACATCTAGAGAATAGCAATCTTTCTAAAATCTCTCTGAAAAAGAAGGAATACATTCTAACTCACCCTACCAGGCAGCATTACCCTGAGGCTAAACCCAAGCAGACATCATAAGAAAGGACAATTACTGGCTAATGTTCTTTGTGAATAAAGATACAGGAATTCTTAATAGACTACTAGCAAATAGAATCTGGCAGAATATTAAGTGGAATTTGCTACTGAAATACAAAAATGGTTTTACACAGAAGCCAATCAATGTAACACATTGACATTATGAATGCGGGCTATATATGAACACCTTTATTGATGCAGAAATGTACATGACAAAATCCTAAACCAATTCACAATAACAGAAAACCACTCAACACAGTAGATGGAGAAGAGAAATTTCTCAACCTGGCTAAGAGCATTGATGAAAACCCAGAAGTTATGTCATGGTCAGTGATATAAGACCAAAAAGTAGAGGAGTAGGAACAAGAGAAAGATGCCTGTACTACAAATTCTAGCCATATCAATAAGCTAGGAAAATAAACAAAAGACGCCCAGATTGAAAGGAAGAAGAAAAGGCATTTGTTGGTGAAATGATCTTATCTGTGGTGCATGCAAATGATCCGTTAGGAAAACTGAAGCTAATAAATAAATTGGATCAAGTTGCAGGGTACAAGCAGGGCACACAAAACAACTGCGTTCCTGCACACAAGCAATGATCAATACAAAAATGAAGGTGAGGCTTTCAAGGGAAACATGGTCACTTGTAAGGTTTAAACAGATGGTGGTGGAGAAGTTCCATGTCCCACTGAAAGCTGCTTAAGGCAGGTGCCATGGGAAATCTATCACAATAAAAACATTTTTTCCAGTATGGAAGGGAAGATGAGAAGGGAGTCTAAGCCAAACAGACTAAGCCAAGTCAAATGTTGCTACACGATGTTTATCAGGAGATTTCAAGAATATGTTTTGGACCCAGTGGCATAAAAAATAATTTTTTTCTCAAGAAAAAAAGAAAAAAAATCACCATTTCATATTAAAATCCTTCAAATGCTACAAACTACTTATGCAAATATGTTAACACCCACCTGTGTTCAAAATGTATTATCAGAGAAATGCTTCATTTGGTCAGTCAATGATCGTTAACGGTTGAGGAGGGCCTTACTCCTGATAGATGGTTTCAGAACCAGGTCAATTAAGTTTGGTTTGCTGGATGCATTTTCACAAGCATATGAAAGTATTTTCCACTGCTGTGGCTATGATTCTAATTGGATCATGTGACAGTAGCTGAGGGCAGGTTGAAAAACAAGGCAAAACACAGCTACCAGATGCACACAGAGTCGGCTTTGCCTGTGTCTACAACAATATTGTTGGGTTAAGCAAAGAGACTGTGGCTGGACTAGGAAAAGAGGAGGTGAGGAGGAGCAGGGTAATAAGAAAACAGCTGCCTCCCCCCACTTCCCTTTAGTTCAAGGAAGAGTTGCTTCTAATCAGGATAACTGAACTGAAGCAAGTTTGGCAGAATCACAGGTCCTACCCACAAAAACACAGATCTGTAAGAGAGCCTTTGGTTTCTATACTAAACTTGCTTGGTTTGCTTGTAAAGGCTTGTAGATCTTTACCAGGCTGATGTGGGGGCAGGTGTTTGTGGTAGCCTCTTGAAGCTTATCTTCAGGATATTTAATTCACTATATGTACCAAGATTTTTCTTCTCATCAAGCCTAAGGTGACTTTCTGTGAAAGGAAATGTCAGAAGAGATCACTCGTAAGCTTTCATCCCACTTAATATTTTGTGATTTCAGAAAAGGAGCAAAAAACTGTTCACTAGGAAAAGTCATTCAGGCAGGTACAATTTACACATGAGTCACTGCTCTTTTCATTCACTATTTTTGAGTCATTCTCTTGGTAGTTAGTGGACATTTTGTCACAGCCTGCACACTAATTATAAGCTTTTATTGACTTAGGGTAGAAGAGTTCAGATGCATCTAAAGCCATGGAAGCCTAGTGAGCTCTGCTGGCCACTCAGTCCAGTGTGCCAGCGCTTGTTGTTTCTGATACTGTCCACAGCTATCCATCTGAATTCATAGTTTGATAGCTAAATATTATATATTGCCTGTATAATCTTTCTGAAAAAACTGAATTTCAGAGAAGAATTGGACATTGTTAAGACTGGTCAACATTCAATTCCATTGTAATTGTTTTTTCTTTTTTTCTTTTACTATTCCTAGAAGAATTCTGGAAGAGTTCTGAAAAATGAGCCATGGTCATGAGCATATGGTGGCTGGTTTGTCAAGCAGCCTTTCTTGAACTTCAGTGACCAGCCGAATTTAAATCAGTGAACTTACTAGTAAGATTTATGCCTTACCCACTTCAAAAGGAATTTTGCTTAAAGATGATGAGAGGAATGGATTATGGTAAGAAATAAAGCAAGCCTTGTCCACGAACATTGTTTGGTGGTGTACTTTGAACAAACAAAACACCAAAAAAAAAAAAAAAAAAAGCACTCTGAAAGCAAAGCCTCAGACTTTCTCTAGTAAATATGAAGTTGCATTTTAGCAGTTTAGGTTAACAGGACTCTGAGACTAAATGGCATCAAAGTTTTGATAACAGAGTATGAAGGTTCCTGTTGGGGTGCAAAAGAAAATTTACTAGGAATATATCAGTCAGAATAAAAGCTAGTAAAATACTTAAAATTATTTTTATGTTTTGAGAATTTCAATTTCATGATTTTTTTCTTTAATTATAATAATTTTACACACACACACACACACACACACACACACACACACACACCCTACTTAGTCCATTTAGTGGTGCTAGTATGAACAAGTGTTTAGAGCTGAGCACTTAGGATTAAACAACCCATCAGGGAGCTCATCCCTAGAGAAAACTGATTCCCTATCGGCAGCAATGATTGACTGCCTTCATCTAGAAGTAGGACCCTGTAAAATTTCCCCCATCCATATTGGCATGTCAACTGGTGTCATTATGTAGATCTTGTTTATGAAAACCACAAAATAGATTTAAGATCAGTTCAACAGGTCAGCTTGAAAAATGTTTCTTTTAGTATCTCCAGGCACAGGGCTTTCTGGGCTTTCTATTGGAAAAAGACATAAGTCAAATCAATGGCCACACTTGTTTCTATTTGTACAGAAAACAGCAGCTCCAGATATATTAAACTGCATCATATGCTTTCTTTGTTCTGTCAGTAGGAGCTTCTCCTCATCTGAAACAACTGAGACACAGTCATGGATCTTGTTTTTGCTGTAACTCTTTGTCTTTTGGTTCCCAAACTAGCACACTCCAGCGACTTCTAGCATCAAAAAAAGACCAACAGTACTCCAGGATAATAATTGCTATAACAATAATTATTGTTAATGATTCTAAACACTCTTATCAGAACTGTGAACTATTTTATTTTATTCAGACTCTGAATTTTTTGTGCTATTTTATCTTACTTTAATATTTTTTTTGAGACAGGGCCTCCCTGTAGCCCCAGCTGTCCTAGAACTCTCTATGTAGACTAGGCTGGCATTGATCTCACAGAGATCCACCTGTCTCTGCATCCTGAGTGCTGGGATTAAAGGCATGAGCCACCATGTGCTACTTACTTTACTTTTTGATTTTAGATTATGTTGCTTGTCAGATCCAATTTATAAATCCTGACAGTGTCTAAACCTGAAACAGAGATAAAGGTGATGCCAAGGTAGTTCAAGGAAATAATTTAGGGCTCCATTTCATCATAAGAGATATAATACAGATTGCTAGTATGATCATTGCCAGGAAGGTAACAGCTCCCACAGACCAGGCCTGGTCTGAGGTTCCCAGACTTCCAAACCACACTACCATGTCACCTGTACCTTCTACATTTGTAAATGGATAAGACTCCATTTCAACGAACCTCATGAAAGTGAAAAAGGTTGGAAGAATATATTCTATCTACAAAAGATAGATATGTGTGCTTGTCTCTCCCTCTCACCATGACAGCTGCAGGGAAAAGGTATAGGGTGCCTTGAAAGTCTTGAGTAATACGGTAGGTTTTCCTTTTCTGCCCCTCTCTCTTTCTGCCTTGGTAGCATTGAGCATCATTGTAAATTTGAGTTTCAGTCTGAACTGGTTTGTTTTCATAGTTTTCAACTTTCTTGACCAGAAAAGCTGATCTGAGAGCCCAATGTTGACAATTTACCCTCAGTATATGAAGCATAGGAGTTATGGACTCTGACTTGATCCCAACATGAACTTCATGCCAGCTATAATTGCTATCAATGGCAGGTGAGACAGACAAAATTCCATTTGTCTATTTTTGCTTTTGTTTCCTGTGTTTCAAGAATTCATGGCTTATACCAGTTTTTTGAAGTGTCTTCCCTATGTTTTCTTTTCATATTTAAACAGTTCTAGGTTCTATATTGGGCCTCTGATCCACTATTCTTGCATGTCTGCCATAAAGCCCCACAGCAAAGGGAACAACTGATAGAGTGATGAGACAGCTGAGGAGAAGATATGCACCAACTGTTCATCCAGGCTTATTTATATTTGGAGAATAAAGAACTCAATAACAACAAAAATAAGTAATCCAATTAAAATGGGCAATTAAATGATCTGAATTGGAACTTTTCAAAAGAAGGAATGCAAATGTTTAACAAACAAATGAAAAATATGCTCAATGTTTAGTCAGGAAATGTAACTCAAAGCGACAACAAGATTTCTCACCGTAGTCAGAATGGTTATCATTGTGATAAAAATAGCAATAAATGCTCCTAAAGATGTGAGAAAAAAAGAACTTCTGTACGTTGTTGGTAGAAATGTAAATTACTAAAGCCACTGTGGAGAACGTATGAAGACCTCAAAAAAAACAAAAAAACAAATAAATCAATGATCCAATTACATCACTTTCTGATATTTATCAAAAGGAAGTGAATTCCAAACAAATGGCTAAACCCCAATGTTCGCTGTGGCAGTATTCAAAACTGATAGGCTATAAAATCGAAGTAGGTGTTCATCAGCTAGTGAAGAAGGAAAGATGCATATCTACACTGAGGGACATTATTAAGCTCAAGGAAGTAGAAATGCTGTCGTTTGTGGCTAAATGGGAACAATTTTAAGAGAGTATGTAAAATGAAATAAGCCTGGCACAGAAAAATAAACATTGCTTGTTGTCTTTCATATGTAGGAGCTGAAAACTTGTCATCCTGTATGTAGAATAGTGATTATTAGAAGTCGGAAAGTGAGGCCGAAGGTGGACCAGTTAAGGGAGGTTGGCTCGACAATGGTTACACCTAAACACAGTTAATTAGAAGGGATAATTTCTATGTATAGCAACACAGTTCATAATAATATTATGTTTTATAAAGATCTAGAAAAGAAGAGCTTGACAGTTTCAAACATAAAGAAAATAGGCTTGGTGGCCTGTATTGGTAATTCCAGCAATTGTAAATCTGAGGAAGCATGATTAAGATTTAGATTCCCAGGATATATAGAGAGACCTGGTCAAGAAGAAAGAGCTAATGAAAAATAAAAACAAAGAAATGATAAAGGAGAGAAGGGAGTAGAAAATAAAATATTAATTACCTTATTCAATCAGTGTATATTGCATGACTGTGTTTAAATATCACAATGTATCCAATTAATGTGTAAAATTAGTACTTGTTAATTAGAAAACTTTAATAACAAAAATGAAGACAAAAATCTCTAAAATATTTGTGTCATCAATAAAAATTAGAGTGTGTACTTTGAATTTCTCATTCTTAATATAGCTAAATCATTTTACTTTAAAACTTCAAGAAAAATTTAAAGTAATTTAGTTTTATCTTTCCTTTATAATAAGAATTTGTCAAATGGTAGGTGCACAGCTCTTCCTTATATGAAGAATTATGTTTCTATTTTGAGAAAAACTCTTCAATACCTATTTTGTTCAGTCTTATTATTCTTATCCATAATGTGGTTTCTAAGCCACATTATGCTGATGCTTAAAAAAGAGACAGCCTAGGAAGATCAGCTCTTCCACCCAGCAGTAATCAGTCTCTAGTATTTCTTCAGCTAAGATTGGGATCAGCTGCCCATTTCTCCAGCCCCAATTCTATGCTGGATTTTTGTTTGCTTGAGTTTGCATGGGTTTCATGCATGCTGACACCATTGCTGTAGATTCATATGATCAGTGTCCCAGGAGCTCTATTTCCATATGGTCATGCACTTCTTCCCTGGCTCTTACAATCTTTCTGCCCCCCCCCCGCCCCGCTTCCTAGCACAAATGATATAATATATGAATTCCAGTGGGGAGGCTATGGGAGGGTGCCAGAGGGGATGGGGGTGTAAAGATGATTAAGATTGTTTGAGATGTTCTGTATGAAATACACAAAAATTCAATAAAAACAAATAAAAAAAAAAGAGGAAGCCTAACTCTTAGCATTACTTTAAGGTTAAGAGTGGACCTGAACTGCTGAACACCTGTTCTTTCAAATGTGTCTGGTAACTCTGTTCCCCAGCAAACACTTCACTCATTCTTTTACAGAAACAGTGTCTCCAGCTGAAAAAGACAGAACCCATCCTTATCAGAGAATCTTGTCCTTTGGTCTCTGGACCTGGAATATCACACACATACAACTACAAGCAGACTTTTCAATTTCTCTCACTGTTTTCAGTGAGATAAGCAGGAGATATCAGAGCTTTCAGTGTTGTGACATGTAAAGCATGCATGCATTCATACACTATCTTGGGTGGAGGACAAGAGGGGTCCTGAGGGATTAGGGTCTTATGTGCAGGTCACAAGAGGAGCACATGGTTCAGTGAGTTTTATGTTTCAAACAGTAACTTTTTGGTGCAAGGTTGGTAAAAATCTTTAGTCCAGATTATGCCCATACTATAAAAGTCATTCCAGAAATGACAAGAGCAACCAAAGCAGCAATTGTCATGATAAACCTCTCTTTTCCCACATGAGTTCCAAATGATGGTGTGCCATTCAGTTCCAAACAGCTCTCTAAGGATATCTTCTCTGATGGGCTGACACTGAGCTGGAACTGAATGAAGATTTCAGGGAGAGTAAGACTGAGATCTCTGAAAAAAGGCTTACTTTCTGTGGGACTGTGTTTACGTAGCACTAATCCAAGAAGGCAATCAGAAACATAACATGGAGAAAGCAAGTGGCTTGTACGGTGAATTGAACCTTTCACTCTGTTTTCGGTTTGTGTTTAGCTTATTACTAGCAATGGGGATTGGACCAGGGTCTCTTGCACTCTTCACACTTTTTTATGGCACTGGAATACAAACTAATACATAGTTTTAGGTTTGCTAGATTTTAGAGAAGAATAAAATTCCTGCTCAAAGCTCCTGATGGTGAAATATCATTAGCATCTATGGCCATTTCTATTTCGAGAATTGGAGTAGAAACTGGTAAGTCGGGGAGTAGGTGGGGAGTCGTTGCTGTTGAACTCATCTCCCTAAGTCTGCAGCCATAGTAAGCAGACCTACACCAGCAGGAACTTTCACCCACTGCAGGGTGTGCATAGCAATGGGTCAACCAGCAGAGACATGATGAATGATGTGATGCTTAAAATAAAATTATTCGAGGGGCTGGAGAGATGGCTCAGTATTTAAGAGCACTGGCTGCTCTTGCAGAAGACCCAGGTTCAAATCCCTGCACCCAAATGGTGGCTTACTAATATCTGTAACTCCAATTCTATGGGTTCTGACACCCTCTTCTGACCTCTGTGGGCACTGTGTGATATGGTGCATGGTACACACATGCAGGTATAACATTCATACACACAAAATAAAAAATAAATGAAAAATAAAATTTTTAATTTTATGAATAAAGAGTCCTTGAAAGAAAAAAAATTAAAGTGAGAGAAATGAATGTTTGAAGGAAATCAGGAATCCAAATTTGGAGATGCCTAATAAATATATGAAGGCATTTGGTGATACCAGTGTGGAGCTTAAGGAAGGAAGTATGAAAATGTGAAAGCCAAGGAAGGAATATGTTAGTTATGAGCACAGAAGTAGCACCCAAAGCTATGGACTAGATATGGTTAGTATGGCAAGAAAGTAGACAGAAAACAGAAGGCCGAGTACCAAGCTCTGCAACACTCCAACATTTGCAAATCTAAGAGCAGAAGGAGCCGTCAAAGAACACTAAAGCCAGCCACATTACAAGAGTGTGATGTCATTAAGGGGAAGCTTAAGGACAAGATTTTGAGCAGAGAATGCTCAAGGATGTTAAAGAATGCTGTGAAGAATGAGAGTGAAGATAGAAATGCAGTCAAAGCTGAGGTGTATTGTGCCTTTACCACCTGCCAAACATTGTTCTGAAAGCTTACAGGGACTGTTCTACTTAATCCTGACAAGACTCAGATGAAATCATGTCAAAATCTTACACAGAGGGAATTTTCGAAGATAATATTAATAATCTATCCTTTTCATTCAGTTCAACTCTTGATGCAGGAAGATGGAAAAAGTTGATTGCCTCAATCTGAGTATTTTAGGAGGCCATTGTGAATTCTGAGCTATCTTGAAGGGAAAGCAGAAAGTGGGAAACTAGAAATACTGGCTGTATCCAAATAAAGGTACTCCATCTAGAATGTAGAATATTTAATAGATGGTGTATATTATTAAAACAGTGCTGGTATGCATTATCAATACTCTTTCTGGGAACTATTTTCCATACTGAATCAAAGCACTCTATGGCTACATTTATAATTTTAGTCTGTTTTATACCTTACTCAAAGTTCTGAGTTAATGTTTATCAGCGCTGGGATTAGGAAATGAATGAAATAAATTAATTTGGAGATGGCATTACAAATAAGATTTGAACAGTCAGGTCACATACAATATTCCAAACATGCTCAGACCATTGCACAATCATAATTTACATAAACAATTTGTGAAAAAATAGAAGAGATTCATTTATATTGGCTGGGGTGATGGCTTAGTAAAATGTGTGCTGTGCAAACATGAGGACCTGAGTTTGTATCCCTGGTACTCTTGACCAAAGCTGGGCGTGGTCTCACACATTTATAACGCTGGCACACAGAAGGCAGAAACACGCAAATTCCAGATGCTCACTGGCCAGTCAGTCTAGTCATCTGGTGAGCTATTTTTGCAGTGAGAGACCCTATCTCAAAACATAAGGTTGTGCCTATAGTAGAGGACAGTCCATGTCGACCTGTGCTTCCATGTGCATGCTCACGCCAAACATGCACACACATATACTACACACATGACCACAAAATATTTAAAAGTGTTCATTTATGAGATGTTGGTTCCATCTGTGTAAATTTGAGATCTAAATTGCAAAGGAATACAGAGACAAGGCTGTAAACAACAGAAATGAGGGAAATGAGGCAATTTTTAAATGAGAAGATTGGAGCACTTTGGAGAGAAGCAATAAGTTAAAATTTTTTATGGTCAGTCTCTCCAAACTTTATAGGCTAGCATTTAATTCAATTATTTTGATATTATTCACTCTAAAAAGAACATGTTTGTGGGATATGTCTGGTCCAAAGCCATTGATGTATGATTTCTATTATGTATAACGACATATTAACTAATGAAAAAAGCTCGTTTGTGGGGAGGGGAATCAAACTAGCAATAAAGTAAATAAAAGACTTTGACATAGTCTATCAGAATTTTAGAGAGCACTTGATTGTTTAAAAGGAAAAGCCACTGGAGAACAAAATATGTTTTAAGACCTTCAATGAGAGAAGGTAGGAAAACCACAGGTATCTCCCATTACAGGAGTTAAAACAGAGCTGTCTTCTGTAGACAAAAGTTCCTTAGGTTAGGTTGGGATTTCTTACCCATTTCCCTATGTCTATGCTGGGATTTTGTCTGGGTTGAGCCTGCATAGGACTGTGCATGCTGTCACCATTGTTGTGAGTTCATATGAGTAAATGATTAGCTGTCCGGAAGACTGTTTTCTTGTGGTCATCCACTTCCTCTGGATCTTAAAATCTTTCTGCCTCCTCTTCTGCAATGATCCCTGAGTCTTGGGGGGTAGAGGTTTGAAATAACTTTCCTATTCAGGGATAAGTATTCTATGGCTTCTTGTTCTATCCACATTGGTTATTTGTCAGTCTCTGTGTTAATTACCATCTGCTACACAAATCAGACTCTATAATATATGTATAAGAGTTCATTAAATGGGTCAGAGGACAGTGGGGGGGATATAGAGAGAGGAGCAGATTTAAATGCTATCAAACTATACTGTATGAAAATTGCAAAAGTTAAAAAAGTAAAACAAAACACAGAGCTGCATGAAACACTGTGCTCTACAAGGAAAGCCCTGGAGTGTGACAGGGCTACACTGAGGATGGCTGTGTAGTGTTCATCAGACACCTCTCACCATTTCCCCACTCTGACGTAACAGCTGAGGTGACTGCCTTAGGCAATATTCACTTAAAGTGGAAGAAAGTGAGGTCAGCTTTTTCTAAGACAAAAAAGAACCATATAGTCAGGTAAATATTTTATCACTACTTGGCTCACCTCACAGCATATGGCTTAGATCAAAAGGACGCATCTACAGAGATGTTATTTGGAACATCATTTTATGCCAGATATTGTGTATTGCAATGCTGACAAATAATATTCTAATCTAACACTTAATCTTAAAATGAATGTTTTCTTTCCCT